TTTAAACTAAAGCATAATGATTTCATGTATTATTTATATTAACCTATTTAATAATTAAAAAACAAAACAATTTCAACAATTCAATGTCACAGCTTATTCGACCCACCTTAAAAAATATTGACAAAAAGCAAAATAAAGGAACAACTACAATATTTTAATATTTAGTATGACCCCCCTTTTGTTCAATGACCGCTTTAAGCCTCTTTGGCATCGATTCTACTAATTTTTTTGTTATTTCTGAAGAGATCTTTGCCCATTCCTCAGTAAGTGCAGTTTTCAAGTCGTTTTTGTTGGAAATATGTCTTTTCCGGATATTCGCGTCCAAAATCGCCCATAAATTTTCAATTACGTTAATGTCTGGTGACTGTGCCGGCGGTTTTATAACGTGCGGACAGTTCCAGATACACAAAGTTCGCACTATCCCGGACGTATGCTTTGGATCATTGTCTTGATAGAAACGAAAAGTGTCCTTTACGCCAAGATCCTCAGCACTTTGGAGCAAATTTTTTTTAAGTATATCTAGGTACATATTTTTGTCCATTGTACTTTCAATAAATTCCATTCTTCCGATCCCCGCTGCAGACATACAGGCCCAAACCATGACGCTGCCACCGCCATGTTTGACTGTAGCTTTTAAATGTTTTTCTTGCCCATCGGACGCATCAGCGAAAATAACGCTCTCCCAGAAGCTAGAGTCCTTGTTAATATGCTCCTTAGCGAATTTTAATCGGTGCTCACGATTTCTCTTGCTTATAAAAGGCTTCTTACGAGCAATTCTGCCGTGCAGATCATTGTTTCATAGCACTCGACGGATTGTTTCTGCAGAACATGACTTGTCTAGCCTGTCCCATATGTCACTGGCCACTTTTGGAGCAGAAATCTTTGGGTTTTGTTTAACAATCCGCACAATACTTCGCTCATCCGTTTCGTTGAATATTTTATTTGGCGCTATTCTTCCTTTGTTTTCCACTCTATTTTCAAAAAGGAAACGATTTATGATTCCCTTTACTGTGGACTCTGGAATATTAACACATTGTGCTATTTTTCGGCGAGAATTGCCATTTTTGTGGTGGTTTAGTACCAATTCACGTTGCTCTACGGTTGTGCGTTTTCCCATTGTTATAACACGAGGTGCGCTGATCAAATCTGAGTAAAAGTGCACATTCTACTTGCAAATATAATGACCAAAGCATAGACAAAAAAGTACCGTTATCCTGCATGTCCAGCGATCGTAACTGTTCATTGAACATCGTGGGTCGAATAAGCTGTGACATTAAATTGTTGAAATTGTTTTGTTTTTTAAATATAAAATAGGTTAATATAAATAATAAATGAAATCATTATGCTTTAGTTTAAATATTAATCTACGATTCTGCGTTTAAATTTGGTTGATATCTCTTTCCGTTTAAAAGTTATACTCATTTAAAATTTTTTCTATGGACTGGGTCGAATAAGCTGTGAGCCACTGTATATAAAACAGTTTGTCCTGACTGACTGATTGGTGATCAACGCACAACCCAAACGGTAATTCTGGGACTTAATGTCTCCCAGAATTAAGCTTATTCCGTAAATGTATTCTTATGATTTACAAAGCAGAAACTCGCCTTTTACACTCACAACATTCATATTCAAAAAGCACATATGGATAAATAAATAAAGTGTTGAACTGAACAATTGAATGCATACACTATTATGTATATGTATGTACATGCACATGTATGTACATATGTATCCCCACATAGCGCATCAAAAAATAATATGTACATATATATTGGCGTTGCCGATTTTTTAAGGGGATAAACGTTATATTGAACATCCGGACAATTGATTACAATACATGATATTTACATATATATTTATAGGTGCTAAACATTACGAAAAGCCGCTCGATATAATGTTTCCCGCCACCTTAGAGATTACCGCCCAGCCCTCTCAGCGTCATCATTTTCGCTATTTAAGTGAAGGGTTTCGGGCTCCGCTACAAGCCTCGGAATTAAGATTAGAAACTACTGAGCCATTTCAGAGTCCAGTTCAGATTGTTTGCCAATTGGTTCAAGAGTATGAAGGTCACGATGGATACTTCGTATCGCCAAACACGCTGCAGTATATTGGCATTGCTCCCAATTCTGAAGTGGGCGGAAAAACAAGAAAGAGAAAGAAGCCAGACTTAAACTTCAATTTTGAGCCGGTTCGCAAGTGGATGACGACTATTGATAGCACAGGAATGAATTTCACATTTAAATTGGCCGATTATTGCATTGCTAAGACAAAGCATACGGACATCAAAGAAAATGTAGAGAAACTGAAGGAAAGTATAACTCCGGAATTGGTTCAGTTGCCACCGGATGATGTGATTACACAGAAATTTGGTAAGGATGTGACGGTGAGTTTGTGTTTCTTTTTACGAATATATACCTTAGTGAGATCTGCTGAGATCTGAATTTGTAATTTCTATAGGTTTATTTAGCATTCACTGCTTTTACTGTCAAGGACGGGAATCGGTGGAAAATCTGTGAAACAGTTTTCTCAAATGGAATACTCAATGCGAGCGAATCAGTAAGCATTATACGGTGCTTCAACGAGAAATTATCATTTGAAGGTGAAGATGTGTCTCTCTTGCTTTCTGATGTTAAAAGAGATTATCAGATTAAATTGTGTAATGAGGAAGGAAATTGGGAGTCAGCGATTATCAAACCTAACACAACTTTTAAGAAACTAAAGACGAATAGCATTCTGGCCTACAAAGTTCCAAAATATGATGGTCCCAACTCATCAATCGAAACTGCGGTCCCATGTAAGCTAATGCTTTACGATGGCGATGAAATATTGGATGAAACGAAAGTAAGTTTTGTCCGGTATGCTACAACAGTAAGTGATGGCAAATGCAGTGGGAATGCACCAATTCAAGTTGATTCTGAGATTGAGCCTTCAACGAAGGTAGAGGTGACAAGTATAGAAATATTGCCACCATTGTTCAGTCATGATTCAAACAACAATCCGAGTATTGGGGATCAACCAATATAGATCGAAGAGAGTGTGTTTAACGGTTTTTCTCAGCTATCTATACAAACAAGATCTAAAGGTCCAATGCCATGCCAAGAAAATACTTTGATTAGTTCAAATCAAAGCGACGAACAGTATTCGAATTGGCTAAGTGAAGTTGACCTTTTATTGGAAAATATAAATGTTGATGAAAACTTTGAAGGAACTGAAGTTACCAAACCGCTTGAGAAATATATAACATATGCAAACAGCGTGGAATGTGAAACTTATTTGGACTCCATGATCTGCGATCTGATAAATCGGAACAAAGACGACAACCACAAACTTAACCAACTCATCAAGTTCATCTATTTCTTGTTACATAGCAATTATGATAGGGGATCCATTATAAGTAAAAAGCCAATCCTTATGATGATAAGACTGCTCGACCCAACGCGAAGCGACCTAAGGAAAGGTATCTGTCACTTGGTGCAATCGTTTATTCAGAGGAATGAAGTGGACTGCAAGTATCTTCTGAATGAGCTTTCGTTGCATTGCAAAATTTGGGAAATACCAGTACCAGAATTACCAATTGCTTTTAAATTGGAAAACATCCCTACTGCTGCCCCTCTGCCATCAATGATTCGCGATTTTTTGAGTTCAGATAATCCCGAAGAGCGAAAAGCAGCTTCTGCCGTAATGCACAATTTTTATGCGTTCAAAAACACAACTGCTGTCGATTTTTGTATGGGATCGAATGATTGTCAGCCCATCCAAGGGCTGGCCTTTTTCAAAACGGTGGATTACCTCGAGCAAGGGAAAATAGACCAGGCGCTGAGCGCTCTAAAGCAATTCCTGCCGTCCATTGTTGAATTGAGTGCGATCAAGGATTGGCATCTGTGGCTGCGCAAATTGCTGATAAACCTTTTAAGCGATAATACAAATATAATGCTGCGGTTCACGGCGTTGGAATACATTTTGAAAAATATTTCAATTGATGTGACCATGCGCCTTAATGTTCTGAAAGAGTTTCTGGTGGCCACGAATAATGTGGAGCTTCACAATCCCAATGGGTTCTTATTGCCAATAAACCGTGCTGTCGAGGGAGCGAATACGAAAGAAATATCAATCTTCGTAGAGGCATTTTGCTCGGTTAAGTGGCATCCAGTGGCCTTTTTTTACTGGCTGGACATCTTGGTAGAAATACGTGAAAAATTACCAATTCTTCGGTTCGAGACCCTTTGCTTGCTAACTGAGAGCGTTCAAAGAGCTTGGAATTTCAGGGAAAAGTTAGGGGACCAAATGTTTGATTTGTTTGAGGTAAGTGACTTTTCTAGTAATATAGTTAAAACAATTTGTGTATTATATTCTTGCAACCACTTTATTTCAGAAAACCATAGACCATATATCACTTACGGAATTTGCTGAGTTCTGCCAAAATATAAATTTATCAATGTTTAATTGTCGGGTGACCCCTCGAATAGTGTCTAAAATAACCAAAATGCTTGTCCACTCACTTCCTAATCGGTCGTGCGGCTGGCTTCCAGAGGAAAGAAGATGCGGATTTCCGATGAGTTGGGAAAAAATACGTAATATACATAATTATATGGGTTGCAAATGCAAGGACATATTTCAACCAGAAATTGAGAAAAATCAAGCCGAATTATTAGAGAGTGTGAAGAAGGATTCAAAACAGGCTTGGTTAAGTTTCGTAATTTCTCTTATCACACGCGATTCAGAGACATATGTACACCTACCCACTTATGGGTACTGTGTTAAAGAATTCGTTAACTATTGGCTCAGAATATACAGGTCGTTTATAGACATTCTGGAAAAACGCGACAATTTGAAGGATGTGCAACAATACTTTCTAAAAGAGCTGAATTGTGATACTCAGGAAGAGAAAAACTTTGTGAAGACCAAAATTGTTGAAGTTTTTGTCAGAGAAAAAATAAAGGAATGGGATGATATAAAAAAGAAAAATATAAGTCTCGAAGAACTTCTACGAAGTCCGTCCAAAGTCGCCATTCGCGAATTAATTGATTTAAAAATTACGAAAATTAAAACAATAATGCCTGGGATTTATTATGACTATTTTATGGCTTTGAGTTTATCCTTAGAACAAACTGATGTGGAAATATTTGGAAAAGAAGAGGTGTAAGTTATTAAATTTGATACACATACATATATATTAATGGCAAATGCATTTTTTTTTTTTTTGTAAAACAGTTCGACAAGTATTTTGAAATTCTTAGGAAAAGAAGAAAAAGACATTGTTACTAAGGATTTATTAAAAATCGTACAGAAATTTGCTCTATTTATGCCACTCAACAGTTTGTGGAGATGGGTAAGATGGACTACACATAAATTTGAATTTGAATTTGAATCAATGGCGTTATTGCGCGAAATAATACTTCCATACAAGGTTTCTGAAAAGGACTTGTGGTAAGTACGAAGTCGATTAGTTTCGAGACTCTTTTTTTTGTCCCAACTAATATAGGAACTGATCGTTTCAACTTTTCTCATGGACAGACAGTAATGTATGTAATACATAAAAGTAGATTTTTAAATAAATAAGCCACTTAAAATCCTTTTGAGTAAAATGCACATGTATGTTTATGATATAGGGTTTTCCATATTCAAGTGCAGCATTTAAAAGACAACAAGAGAAACGCTATAGTCGAGCAAGCCCGACAGTAAAATACCCTCTACTCTCCACAAAAACAGAAAATACAAAAAACATTTATTTAAAAAAATTAAAAAAAGGAATTAAATAAAATAAAAACAAGTAGAAAAGATAAAGTCGGATGTCCTGACATTGAAATACTCTGTACATATGCTTAGAATAATAATAGTATTAAAAAAAAAAAAAAATTTTTTTGATCGCATCAGATAAAACACACACACATCTGTCCTTTCTCGGACTTAGGGGAATCTGGATACCAAGTTTGGTTATTCAAGCTCTTATACTTTCTGAGATCCTTTCGTTCATACAGACGGACAGACAGACAGACGAACATGGCTATATCGACTCGGCTGGTCACCCTGATCAAGAATATATATTTATACTTTGTGGGTCTGCCCCGCCTCCTTCTGTGTGCTACATACATTCGCACAAAACTAGAATACGATAAAGTCTAGTCTGCCTTGAGGTGACTGCTCAAGTGATACTACACACATCTATCTTGACAAAACTCCAGGAAGAGTCCCAAATATTTACATTCTACTCGTTTTAAGACCTGATAATTCCTATGACAAATCCTATGTAAGTGGCTGTTTTTTAATGTATTTTAGTAGTAGTAACAATACTACCATGTCTCAGAAGCTGAACATTATACCGTAATAAAGTTACTAACTTGTTTTTCTTTATGCATTTTACAGGGACAACACCGGTCTAGAACACCTGTCTATCCATCCTAAGAATCATACGAAGTATATATCCGAATTAGTCCGTCTACACGTGGAATACACAAAGAAAGCTCCGATATATTGTCGCAATTCAATGGATCATAGAATTAAATTACGCATTGGCCTGTTTTTGTTACGCATTGGAGTGATCCGTGATAAACGTTCGTTATGGGAAGAAAACTGGTGGGATTTGGTATTAGCCCAGTTTGACGAACTAAATGTTAAGATGATTTATGAGACTTTTGTAGCAAAATGGGTATCCTTTAAATCCCTAACGGATCGTTTGAGCAAACTCCAGGAAGAGCCTCCGAACTTCCAGCTATCAATAATATCTGTCGCGCACTATTTTTGTAGATTGTATGACGATATGACAGATATTTTGCCGATATTCAATTTACTTTGGGATCAGACAAAGGACACTATTGCTGACATTCGTCGCTTTGCTTTGTTGGGCATATATACCTGGATAGAGGAGTATGAGAGAAGTGAAGAGGAGAGAGGAAGGTAACATTGACACGATTTTAGTTTGCAATAAAAAACACTCTTTAGTTGTAGGAGCATAGAAAAGCTTGTGAAAGAATATGAGAAACTTGGAAAATGGACACAACCAATAATACAACAACTGAAAGAAGAAGATGAGAAACTTGGAAAATGGAGACAACAAATAATACAAGAACTGGGAGAAGAGTGGGAAGATCATCGAGCTAAAGAAATAAGACTTTGTCTAAACCCGATCAGCAAAAATGTGATTGAAGATATATTTTATATGACATTTGGTCCATTCGAGGAATGCAAGATTTCTGACGATTCAAAATTTTCAAACAACATTAAGAAGTGGCATGAATTCTATAAAGAGGAAGCGCGAAGAATGATAGCTTTTCCAAATGCTGAAGAAGATTTATCAGCCATTAGCAGTGAATAAGCTTTGAAAATGAACACACATGCACACGTATGTGTTTCTTGTATTGATGTCATTTTTAATACCCTGTACCCCATGCCACCGTACTCCATGATCTGAAGATTGATTAAATTCGGCACACTATTGGCATAGGAATGAATTTTCCACCAATGCTGATTTAAATTAAAAGAATGGAGAACGGGAAAAATGGTGGGTAGAGGGTATTAAAGAGTCGAGCTGCCACAAATTTAAATAAAATGTATAAAATGTGTATAAATAAAGGTATACTAAAAATAAACCCGACATAGTTTGAATTGTATTGTTTGTAAATCGTAAAAGCAAGGCTGGTAGACACTAGAAAGGTTAACAATATGAGTTATTTATTTACTTCTGGCTTGGATTTTCTGATGCAAAAGCATCTCATTAGAAAATATCTAAAGAAATAAATTGGCTTCCAGTCAATGTATTATTTCTAGATTATCTCTTAATTCAGGTTCATTTAACGTTCGAACCCTTTCCATAATGGATTTTCAATCGTTTTTAAGCACAGCTCATCTGTCTGTATTTACTTTTGTTATTCTAGCATAAGATTGAGGTTTTCAAAACCTTCTAAATTAGTGAAGTATTGACTCATTTTCTTCATTTTTATTCACATTTATTGTCATTACAGAAGTTGCATAAGTTGCCAAAAGAGATAATTAATATAAATCAATTATTTCGTACTGTTTTAAGTTGCATTTAATAATCTAATGCAAAAATACTGCCAATAAAGCCAATATATATACATATAATATTTGCAACTCTTGGCAACATTAACCTAAAAAATAATGAAGATACTACTTAGGTGCAGAAACTAAATTGTACATAAATGAAAATTACAGCACAGTTTAAAAATATTCGTTTTACATGAAAGTTTGATTCCACGAAATGAATTGTAAATTTCCATGACATATTAACAATTGCATTTTTAACATACAATACAAATTGAGGTAAAGAGTATTACTTCACAATATTTAGAAGCTAGAGAAGGCAGAATTTCGAAAATTGGACAGAAAACTGTAAGCAATTACCAAACAATGGTACATTTTGTGGCGATCTCTGCGCCACCTAGCGCCCGTTCGAGATATTCGTTGCCATTTGAAACTGATCCCATACTTGTCTATTGTGAATGCAGTTTTGGCGGGTGCTAGAGTTGGCAGCCCTTTCCTTTTACGCTTCTGTTTGGGGGACAGAAAAGACTTTTAGTTTTTATTATTAAACAAAAATTCTGATTACAATTGCGTACCATGGATCTCAACGATGCCGTGCTCACGTGCGCGGTGAATATTCAATGGACAAATGCAGTGGGCGTGACGGGGCGTAAATTACAGTACAAGACAGCGACGCTACGCTTAGTCCGCAATGATCTGCGCGAATTATTTGTCGAAGTGACGCCGGAAAAGCTAAAGCCTCTTAAATTCAAACTGAAGGACATAATGATACACAAAAAGTTCATGAATGAAGGCAAGGCAACATTCAATTTTAAGGCAGAGCACTGCGCGCTCTATCTATCAAATGCCCCGCCGGGCCCATTAATGTTCTTCCTACGCACAATTTTCATTAAACTGAATGGCACGGGTGAGGGGCAGGGACAGCCCGACGAGGCGAGCCTGCAGAAGAAGTTACGCGAACACATGTTGTCGGGCAAGCCGAGCTCCTTCGAAGAAGTCTCGCCCGTAACGACGGCCGAGATGGTTTTGGCGCGTAAAAAGGCCGGTTTGGCGGCATCGCGTGCCACATTGACGACCCCATCGCCACACGCGGCCAAGAAGCGGCGCTTTGAGGAGCTTAAGACGGGCGATGAACGTAATGGTAGTGGAGGCGCTGTGCCTGCGGCCAAGAAACTATACCAGCAAACATCAACTGAGGACTCGTTGCGTCTAAGTGAGGAGCAGATGGAAGTTCTGCGCGCCTGCACCGCCGGCAAGAATGTCTTCTTTACGGGCTCTGCAGGTACGGGCAAGAGCTTTCTGTTGCGCAAAATAATTTCTGCTTTGCCACCGGACGGCACAGTGGCGACGGCGTCGACTGGCGTGGCTGCCTGCCTCATCGGCGGCACCACGCTTCACGCTTTTGCTGGCATTGGAGGCGGCGATGCGACTATGCAGCGTTGCCTGGAATTGGCGTCGCGTCCGGTTTCGGCACAGACTTGGCGCAAATGCAAAAGACTGATCATTGATGAGATCTCTATGGTGGATGGACAGTATTTTGAGGTAAGTTCTTAAGTATGGACCATAAATTAGGATATCCAATCGCTAAATTTGATTCTGTTGTAGAAAATTGAAGCTGTGGCACGGCACATAAGGCGCAATGACCGTCCCTTCGGTGGCATACAACTGATCCTATGTGGCGACTTTCTGCAGCTGCCGCCGGTGGTTAAGGCCGACTTTGCTGCCCAAAATAGCGCAGCTCAGCAACGCTTTTGCTTTCAATCCAGTGCCTGGGAGACTTGCATACAGTGTATTTTTGAGCTGAAGCAGGTTCATCGTCAATCAGATCCAGAATTTGTTCGCATCCTCAATCATTTGCGTATTGGGCATGTAAATGAGACGATAACTGCACGATTAGTGTCCACCTCGAAGCAAAAGATCGAGGGTAATGGCATACTGGCAACACAATTGTGCTCCCACACGAATGATGCTAATTCCATAAATGAATCCAAGCTGGACAATCTAACGGGCGAGAAAGTGCTCTTTCGTGCTGAGGATTCGGACGCCACGCTGACCAAGCAGTTGGATCAGCAAGTCCAAGCTCCGGCACAGCTCTATTTAAAAGTGAATGCGCAGGTGATGCTGCTCAAGAATATCAACATTGCATCGGGTCTAGTGAATGGCGCTCGTGGGGTGGTGGTGCGCATTGAGAAGGGTCTGCCAGTGGTGCGCTTCAAGAACAATCACGAGTATGCGTGCAAGCACGAGAAGTGGATAATCAAGACGGCCACCGGTGGCGTCCTCACACGTCGCCAAGTGCCACTAAAGCTTGCCTGGGCCTTTTCTATACACAAAAGTCAAGGACTTACGCTTGATTGCGTAGAGATGTCACTCTCTAAAGTGTTTGAGGCTGGCCAGGCTTATGTGGCTCTGTCACGTGCCAAATCACTAGACTCGGTGCGCATATTGGACTTCGATTCCAAGCAGGTGTGGGCCAATCCGCAAGTGCTGCAATTTTATAAGAATTTCCGACGCCGTCTTGTCGACACCACCATGATACCATTGGGACCGAATAATAAGGAAAAGAAGCCAACCGATAGCAAGCTCAGTGCATTGGCCAAGCTTAAGAAAAGCCTCATGAATAAACCACTTGTCTCCATCAGCTAATGCAAAAATATTTTAACATTAAGTACGCAATTTAAGTTATCACATCTAGCTCAAATTTAAGCACTGACGGAAGGCTCTTCGACTCATAGCTCGCGCAAATCGCTGCAGCGTTTTGAGAATGTCTTTCAATACGAAACCGGACGAAAGACCTTGACAAAATGCACTTCTATAAGCACAAGATCGAGCTTGGAATTTGAAGATCCTTTAAGGAACAAGTTTGTAAACCGTCTTATACATTTAGATTTAAAATACAATATATGAACTGACATTATCGCAGCATTAAATGTAACAAGACAAACAAAAAAAAATGTAATATTGTTACTAATATGCTCGGATTGTGTCTATGAATTGGTGACATGCTATTTAGCTGGTATTCTTCGATTGGATCATGTATATTTGTTTTGTTTTGCTGAAGCACGTTCAAGAAACAAGTTTTGCGGAAATTTAACTCAGCCGGGAACAATACGATGCTTTAGTGATTGCTGCCAACAGTATCCTCACTCTTCATGCCGCTGCCGACTGGGCCATGGCGACGTTCCCAAATCAAACGATGCTTTTGCTTCATATAGCACGTTTTGGCATTGGCATAGCCGCCCAAATCACCATCTGCAAGGCGAGTGGGAAAGCTTAGCGAAATACATTTTTTGCATTTTGGAGCTCCACTTACACTTAACGAACCAGTTCTCTGAGGCCTTCTCGTATGTCTCCAGTAGCGGCGTGCACTTGGCAATGTGATCGGGTGCCTCGTAGAGCATGCAATCCTCGAAACGTTGACGCAAGATGTTCACAATCTCGTTGTCCACCATACGATCGCGTCTGAATTGCTGATCGGCCTCGAAGCGGCAAACGGCATCGTCTGTGTAACATTGATCGATGGTTGGCACGCGACGATAGCGCTGATGATACCAATTGTATTTCTGTTGATTTGGCTCGACAATCGTCTCTGCAATGCAAACAATATAACTTGTCTATAAACTGCGTGCGGGTGTAAACAAAAACAGAAGCAGCCGCCTCGGTTGAGGTTATGTCATTATGTAATGTAAGAAGCATTTCCAAGTTTTTGCTTTGCCAGGAGCATAACTTTTAATTAGCACTTGACACTCATCGCATTCGTGCAGCGCGGACTTATCCACTGGTGGCAAATCTTACCTCGGAACCACGTAATGGGGCCATCAATGGTATTCTGCACTGACTGTGCGAAGCTCTGCATAGGGCTGCGCGGCTCCGGCATTTTCAAACGCTTTCACGAACTGTAATTGTACAAAGTAAAGAACAACCTTAACTACGTTAAGAACCCTATAGTTTGAGTTTAATTTGGCTAAGTAATGTAGTTTTCCTTTAGTTTCGTACCTAGTTTGGAAACCAATCCTATCGAAGAAATAGAAACAACAAAACAGCTGTACTAGCGATGACACCAATTTGTATATCGCACTGTCGATAGCAGCACCAAACTGATTATCGAGTACTCAATACATACTTTCTTTGGCGTCGTTGTCTTTTTACAGATTACCAAATAGCCCTTGTTTATTAGATAATTGTGATATTTTAAGTAAGACAAAAATATTACTTATTTGCATTTCGCCATCAGCAATTCAAATGAATCGGCAGTTTGCCGCCAAGATGCTGTACTCTTCTTACCCACAGCAGATATGTTTTTTGCAACATTAAATACCCCACACCAGCTGGTTGAACTCACCACTCAGAAGAAGCGCGCAATTGTTTGTCCTTGTCCCGCAAATGCAAAAGCTTATGCTGTAATGTTTGCAACAACAAGTTGTATTGCCAACACAATCGAACACGTTGTATTGTTCCAACGCGGGAGCCGGAACATGTTCGATGTGTACGGCCCCCTTGCCATTTCAATTTCCAATCTGCTGTTGTCAGTCCGCGGTTGAACCTCCTGTGAGAACGTAAAGCTGTTACGCGTCGGCATCGCCAATTTTCACACAATAAGTAGGGAAGCACCTAAAAGAAATAATATAAAAAATGCTCGCAGTGCCGCGTGTGTCAGTGTGTGTGTGGTTAAGCAAAGAGCTATAATTTAAATAAATATTTAATAACGACAAAGCAATCGTTAAGAATGCAAAAATATTTGCAAGCATTTTTAGAAGTTTATAAATAGTGCACAAAAACAACAACAACAAGAAAACATCAGCAATAACGACAACAACACACTAACAAGCGGCGGCAAATCGGCAGCCGCTGTCGCAGTCGCAGCCTCAGTCTCAGTAGCGGAGCAGCAGCAAAGCGTCGGCAATCCAATAAGAATTGTCTGGCAGCGTTTACGTTTTTACTGTTGACGCCGTCTCTCTGTCTGCGTGCGTGTGCGTTTGAGTTTGTGTGCGAGTGTGTGTGTGTGTCTGTGTGTACGTCTGGCTGGCTGGTCGTCGTCTACCGGCCTTCGTTTCGTCCCTCCGTGCGCGCTTCTTCACTCTTCGGCAGCCAGTGTGTGCGTATGTGTGTGTTCGCGTTTGTGTATTTTTGCAGCGCATAGATAAAAGTTAAGCGCATACGAAATTCAAATTAAGAAATTGTATTGCGTGAATAATATAAGTGAAGTAAATAAGTGGAAAATTAATTTATGGCACAAATTAAATTGCAAATTTAAAGTAACTGGACAGAAATCTTTAAAAAATATTGTCAGTCCTGCGATTGCGTTGCAGTCGACAGCGGCAGAGAAAAACACGCGCCACAAAAGCTCTCACGCTCTCAGCGGCGTCGGCAGAGGCAGCGGCAGAAGTAGAAGCAGCAGCAGCGACGGTTGCGGCGTCAAAATGCCGTCGGCAAGGCGCAACCGAAATAAAAATGAAGAATGAATTATGCGTTTTTTGTACAAAGTGCCAAATTGTTAACAAAAATACATACAAATAAATACCCAAATAATAATTAGGGAGCAAAATGTTGTGCTGCTCTCGTGAATTTCTGTCGTCGTGGGCGCTGCCGTGATTTATAAGAAATATAAAAATAGAAAACAGCACTACAATTGCAACACCAACGATAATAGCACATAACATTGTTATACAAATAATAATAATTATAATAATAATAAGCTTGCCCAGCAACAACAAAAAGTACGTGCCCGCGTCCTTGCGCGTGTAAAATGACCGAATACGTGACGCCCACTATAACGAGCGTGCTGAAGAAGTACCAGAACAGTGCCCCAAAAAGTCTGCAGGGTCCAGGACATACGCTGGCCGTGGCAGCGGCAGCGGCGGCAGCAGCAGCAGCTTCGGGCGTGAATTGTCCATTGGATGCCACCATTGCTGGCAATGGCATTAGTGATTTAGTCGCGGTCGCCCAAACTTCGCTAACCAATGGCAAGATTCAAGGGCAGGGGCAGGGACAGGGTCAGGTGGTGCCACCGGCTGTGGCGCTAATCAAAAAGGAGATCTTAAGCTCACCCGAACCGCATGATATGCTAGATACACAGAATGCTGCAGTGCAGCAGTCCAATCCATCAGTTGTGGTTGCCACAGGGGTTGGTTCAAGTGCCGCACCAGGTGTGGCACCGCCGCCAGCACCACCACCACAAATTTATCCGCCCCCACCGCCGGAATTGTCACAGCCCATACTCTCAGTGGCCGATTCCGGTTCTGGGGAGCTCTACGAGACGCGTCTGGAGGGCAAAACCATTGGCTGCTTCTCGCTGGGTGGCGAGATGCGTCTGTGTCTGCCACAATTCCTCAACAATGTGCTCAACGATTTCTCATTGGAGCAAATCAATCGGATCTTTGATGAGTTGGGCATCTACTGCTCCCAATGTACGCCCGATCAGCTGGTGGAGTTCAAGGCCGCCAAAATACTGCCCTCGGATGTGAAGGCGAGTGGTCTGATTACACGCACCGATGCGGAGCGCTTGTGTGCAGCACTGCTGCATCGTTCAGATCGGAATAGCTATATACCCGTCGAGAATTTGGCAAAGGGCGCCCTCTCCTTCCACGTCTACCACAAATGCTTTGGAAAATGTGAGGGTATCTGCACTCCGGATATGTATTCGTATCAGAAGCCGACGTGCATCAAGTGCCTCGAGTGTGACGGTTGGTTCTCGCCCCAGAAGTTCGTGGGGCATGTGCATCGCAAGTTCGAGAATCGCACCTGCCATTGGGGCTTTGATTCCCGCAATTGGCACGACTATCTCCATGTGGCGCTCGATGTCGAGAATCGGGAGAAATATCAACGCATATTGGATCAGCTCAAGGAGGTCGAATTAAAGGAGACGCACAAGGCGCAACTGGATCAAAAGAAGCGAAAGGTATGTAGTGGATCAATTATTAATCAAAACTCCAATATTTGGAGAATTCCTGTACGTTAGAAGAAGAGAGTTAACAATAAGTTTAAAATTTCAATTTCGCAAATAAACGTAAAAATTCTTGATTCCAACTTGTTGACATTTCCTTATTTTTTAAGAGTTTTTAAAAGATATCACATTACATATTCCTTCCATGTTTAAAATTGCAATTCAAACTGAAAAATTCATAATTGTCAAAAATTCCACAGATGGAGACGTCCTTACACTTATTCAGTTTCTAATTAAATGAAATTGAATTAAATTAAATGGTATCCAGATATAAGTCATACTACAGTGCAGAGTCAAACTGAACATTATTCTGAAATTTGAAAAATTTATAATATTTCATTACTTTTAAGCTTGGGAATTTGGGATCTCATTATACCCTGTATCCGAATAAAAGGGTACCTGATCATATGGTGATTGGTTCCTTATATCTAGAGAAATATATATGAAATTTTTAATTTTCAAACCGTGTTATAAAGACCGTGTAAAAACAGAAATAGGTGTATACCAGTTTAGTGTGAATGTCTGTAGCCCAGAAGGAGGCGAGAGATTTCCCTATAAGTATATATGTATATATATTATTGATAAGTTTGACAATAGCCATGTACAAGAGCTAGAACAACCTCTTTTGTTATTTTCAAAAAAGGAAAAATAAGTATATTTCTACTACCTAAATTGTTGTTTAAAATTTGAAGCACTCCTTTTTGAAAGCTGTAATCGAACAACGTCAGTTCTAGAATAATTAAGTGCATACCAATGGTATGGAAGGAGCCTTTGTCGCCAATAAACTTCAATACCGTTGCCACATTTTGAAAGATTAGTGATAAAATGTTTTACGTGACCGAAACTGGCCGTGTAAACGAGACTTTAATTATGATGTGGTTGCGTGTATTTACGCCTCGCGACCTCTCACCGACAACCTGTAGTAGAAGCAGCAGCAGCAGCAGCTGCAGCAGCAGCAGTGGCGAAGCTGGCGCCGGCGGCTTTTTCACACCTTTGGGTACTGCAGTAGCCGCGCCGCAGCAGTGCGCCCACATATACGGCTGGGGTGGCTGGGGGCGGTGCCTTATTTGGCGCATCGCATTGACATTCTCTGCTTCAATTCTGTTTGCCGTTGAATATTTTTTATTTTATGACTTTTTGTCGCTCGGCGTGACTGCCGCACGTTAAAAACTAATAAAAAGTTATACAAAAAGGCAAGGCAGACAAATATAAATATAAATTTACTTAAGTTAGCGGCGACGCTGGCGTCGACGTTGGCGCTGTCAGTAGCCAAAGTAAAGCGCTCCCCGTTGTGCGCGTTTTGATTGCCGCAGTCAATCAGTCGTTGTCGTCGTCCAGAGCGCCGCCCCAATTGCCCCCAAAGTCGTAAAACGTGCGATGGCATCGTTGTCGCACAGCAACAGCAACAGCAACAGCAGCGGTGGACAGCGACAGCGACAGTGGCAGAGAGGCAAAGAGCGACGAAAATGGAAATATTATAATAATTGTTTTCTAAATTTAAATTCAAATGTAATTATGCGCATTGTTGTTGCATCCGATGATGATGGCGTCGTTTAAATTATTTGCATTGAAGCGCCGCTGAGTCGTCGTTGCTCGTATCTCAGCAGCTTCTTGAGTTCCCGCTCTCGCTGCTTTTCATTCTCTCTCACTTCTTCTTCGCGTCGATCACTGTCGGTTAATTTTTTGCGTTCACTGTTAAAAGCGCTGCAGTTGCACTGTGAAGGGCCACAAAAAAAAAGGTGGGGAAAAAACTATTGCAAAAAACATTGTTTTTTGTTTGCTGCAGCGGCAGCTCATATTTATTTATATAAACTACTTAATTTGTGCTTAAACAGCGTTCGCTGGCTTAAAACAATAAATATTTTCCGTTTTGTTTGCTTAACAACTGCCCATTGCGTGCTGCGCCGGCAAAATGCAGCCAGCACGTCTGCTCTGGTCACAGCAGTGAAGCGTTTTTTGTTCGATTGGAATTTTAAAAACCAAGTTAATACGTACATATGTGGTTGGCACCACTGTGCAGTGTTTGTGAGTGTCTGTATTTCGGCCAAGACGACAACTTGTCTATTTGCTGCAGTCGCCGCCGATTCTGCCGCTGCTGTCATCGCAGTCCGCTTTGCTGCGTCGTGACGTCTTGGACAAACATTGTTGCTCTCTTTAAGTTTGTCACTCCTCGCTCAAAGATCTTAGCGAGGGTGCTTCATGAGTTTAGTAAGTTTTTAAAATAAAATATGAATTATGAATATGAATAAAATTGAATGCTAGAATCGTGCAGGCCCGTTTTGTTTAAAATCTAGTTGGTTAAAAGTTTCAAGTATAACATCACTAATAGCGATAGAAAGAGAAAAAACACAAATTATGCCTTCCTGGTCGGTCTCTCAGTGACCCGAGTCTAGCGTAGAAGCGAGCTCATTTCGATATACATACATATGTACATATGTATGTATGTATGTATGTACATATATATAATACTTTGTGGAGCATGCCTTACCTCCTATTTTGTGTCCATACATTCGCACTAAAAAAGTAAATCCTTTTTCGTTTTTTTTTTTTAGCTATACCAAAAATTTTCATCATTTCGTTATCTGTTGTTTTTGATATCGCAGAATACAGTTACTACTGTAATTGGTGTGGAATTTGAAATTAGAGAGCGGCACTCTCTGATCTGCCCTCGTATCGGAAATATGTTTTCAACGCTTCTAAATTAGTTTTGGGTGTAATTGTTGTTGGTACTGTTGCTGTTGTTGTTGCTTTTGTTTGCCATTTGCTGTCCATTTTGGCAGCGCCTGCGGCGTCATTTTCGATTTTTTGCTATGAATTTCGCACCAAGCGCTCCTCAAAGTTATATGTATATTCAACAAATAATGATAATGAGCAGCGGCAACTGCGAGCAAGCTTTGGCGGCGACGTTGTCGTCGACGTCGAGTGAAGCAGCGGCAGAGCAAAAATAAATCGCAAACCGGTTTAAATGTGTGTTTGTTTGTATGTCCGTCTGTTTGTCTGTCGGTTTGTCCATTGTACTTTGGCCGTGGCTGCTGTTATTGTTACCTCTGCCGTTGCCTCTCGTTGGGCGCTCCCCTCTTCGGGCCATACCTTGTCTTGCTATGGGCGTCGCTGTCGGGGCCGCTCAGTTGCGTCGACGCGTCGCCGCGCAGTCGCAGGAGAGTGCACAAAACAAAGCCGCTTGCAGCGTTTGTTGCGCAAAAAAGAACATTTTATAAAATAATAATAACGAAAAGAAGCAGAACGGCAAAATCACACACACACACACACACACACATACACACAGTTAAGCACATAAGCGGACACAGCATGCAAACAACAAACTTGCTTGAAAAATGCCAATGAACGGTGGTAGACGAGAGCACAGACGTTGACGATGCTGCCTTGCGTCAGCTGCGATGTCAGCTCAAAGAGACAAACATACACTCACACACACATACACAAACGGGAGCGACAAAGACACCCAAGTACGTTGAATTTTGTTGCAGCCTTTTATTTATTTATTTATTTATTTTGTTGTTGTTGGCTGCTGCTCTTCACAGTGCAAAGCAGTGCAATGCGATGTTGTTTTAAGCGCTTTTCTGCTGTTGTTGTTATTGTTGTTTCTGGGATTGCCAAAAATACCGCCCTTTGCACGACAGACTGCCAATCACTCATTCAATTTATTTTGAAGCTTTCGCCTTACATAACGAGCGAGATTTTTCTTAATTTGGAACTCATTAAGAACTTTGATTCGCAAAAAAATTAGTGTTTTTGGATTTTTACGAGTGTGGCAAATATTTCAACAGGTTTTTAAATGTCTGTCTCAGCATGGCTGCTGTTTTTGTTGGTTTTTGTATTTGTTTTTGTTTCTGGCTTATCAAAGTTAACGCAGTCGTAAAATTTGAAATTTTATGCTAATCTGTGGTTTTAAACTCTTTTGTGTGATCGTCGTGTTTTTCTGGTTATATTCAAATCAAGCAACAATATTGCTGATAACATCACCTATAGGTATAGGTATGTATATGTATACGTGTGCACATGTATTTGTTTGACCACGTTTTCGACACACATACATACATACATACAAACATACGTACGTATGTATGTACGTATGTATGTACGTATTTAACAATAACAATTATGAAAAATGTATTCTAATCAAATGGGAAGCAAGCAAAGAGCATTTTGTGGTGCTGATAAGCTTAAATAATCCAAGGCTAGGGCTGTTTTTTTTTATGAAGCTGTGGTATCACATTTGATTCAAATACTTACATACAGACATAAAATAGTACGTATTATAATAACAAGAATATTAATAATATGTATATTTTATGGTGAATTTTATTATTGATATAAATTGTATTTATTTTTGTAATTATTCATACATAAAAGCATATAATTATTATTCATTTTGAAGTGATTGTTTTAATACTAAATAGTTATACAATGTGATCAATATATTGGTATTCTTATTATTAAATAATAATCCTTTTTGTTAATATAAATTACATAATTTTTATTAGCTTAGCTAAATGGTTTTTGTTAAAAATGATTCCATACTATTTCAACTACAGCTGCGGTGAAAAAGCTTATTATTATATGAGAGAAGTGTAATATTTGTTAAGTATCTAACAATTCGAATACAAGTATTTTGTTGCATATCCTTTGAACCTAAGTTTCCCCAGGACACCTTAATTACAACGCCAAGCTCATTATTGTTGCAGGGCTTTTGAAGAAAAACATCTACAGGTCTAATGACTGAGAAGGCCACTAGATAAAAGCAAAAGATTTTTTCTTCAACAATTTGTGAGCCTTTTTGCTCCTATGTTTCGGGTCACAGAAACGGCATTACTTCTTCCATATAAGGCAGCATGTAGGAGACAATATTGGTCCATTTTTTGTTTCAATCAAACTATGCCAATAAAGTTACAAAAATGTGAGAGGAACACACCGTCCCATTTAATAGTGAACAT